AATGGGATGTTGAAGTTCCAATTGTAAAATGGATAGAGTCGATGCTGAAACACCGTCACGTTACTGCTGAAATAAACGGAGCATCAGCTACCGCTACCACGATCAGAGGGTGTCCTCAAAGGGGTGTTCTTTCTCCGCTACTATGGACACTGGTGGTAGACAAAATTTTTACCAGACTGAGTAGTGCGGGATACCAGGTCATAGGTTACGCAGATGACCTAGCCATTGTAATCAAGGGCAAACATGAAAGTATAGTGACAAGCCGAATGCAAAGTGCCCTAAACATCGTTAAAAATTGGAGCGAAGACGAAGGACTATCCCTAAACGCAAACAAAACAATACTTGTCCCGTTCACAAGAAGAAGGGAGCTAAATTTGAAAGCCCTGACCCTTAACGGTACACAACTAACATTTTCCAACGAAGTGAAGTACTTAGGGGTCACCCTGGACCGAACCCTCACTTGGAACAAACAGTTAGAGAAAACATGCTCTCGAGCTACATCAGCCATTTGGTCATGCCGAAGACTTGTTGGCAAAACATGGGGGCTAAAGCCAAAGATGGTATTCTGGATCTACCAAACCATAATAAAGCCCATGGTCACATACGCCTCATTGGTGTGGTGGCCCAAAACCCAACAAGTCACCGCTCAGATTAAGCTAAGAAAGGTGCAAAGGCTTATATGTCTAGGAATAACGGGAGCAATGTCAACTTGCCCCACCGCAGCCCTAGAGACGCTACTCAACATGCCCCCACTTCACCTATGTGTGAAAAAGGAGGCAATAACCAGCGCTCACAGGCTATTCCAAATAGACAAGTTCAAGCCTGGCGATCTGAGGGGACATCTGAGAATCCTTGATCTAATAAAACTGGAGAATGCCAGCAAACCAAGTGACCACATGATGGTCAGATTGGACTTAGAGATCCCCTTCGCAGTGGTAATAAACGACCGCCAATCATGGGAGAATAAAGAACTACCACAAGCAGACAATGCATCTCCGTGGTACACAGATGGATCCAGGCTGATGGAAGGAGCTGGACTGGGCATTTCCGGCCCTAACTTCAAGAAGCTCTCCAAGGCATTGGGTAAACATCTTACAATAATTCAAGCCGAACTGCTTGCCATAGATATATGTGCACAAGAGAAACCAAAGCCTCAAAAGAAAACATCTTCATACTATCGGACAGCCAAGCTGCCTTAAAAGCCTTAAGGGCTTTCACATGCACGTCAAAACTAGTCTGGGAGTGTAAACAGACCCTAAAAACACTAGCGACACATAACCAGGTAACGCTGATGTGGCTGCCTGGTCACCGAGGCATAGAAGGAAACGAAGAAGCAGATGGCCTCGCAAAGGAAGGGGCCTCAACACCATACCACGGACCAGAGCCCTACTGTGGCTTAATGAAAAGCCACATCATGGAAGAACTCAACAAATGGGAGAAAGACCAACTGTCATCATATTGGAGGCACACACCGGGACTCAGACAGTCAAAAAGGTTTATTACCCTTTCAGCAAAAAGAGCTGAACAGCTCCTAAACATGAGCAGACCAGACATCAGATTGGTGGTGGGACTGCTCACAGGACACTGCCCAGTAAAATACCATTTAAGGTTAATGGGCAGAGCGGAAGACGATCTCTGCAGATTCTGCTCAGACGCAATAGAAACCGCAGAGCACCTGCTCTGCGAATGTCCAGCCCAAGTCTGCAAGAGGCTCAAATTCCTCGAGGGGGCAACACTGTCACCAGAAGAAGTGGGCCAACTGACACCCAGGAAAATAGCTTCCCTCGGCAGAAGTCTACGCTTCCTGGAGACAAATTAAGATGTAGAGTCAGGCACAAAATATCTGCAAAGGTAGCAGTGCTGAGCGGCTGAAAAGCCGAAACGACTCCCCCGAAATCTACAATCTACAATCTAGATGCTGGTTATTTTGTTGGTAGATTGAAGAAATTGACTGAAGAAGATCTAAAGTGGGTCCTCGTAGCGCCACTATGAGTGCCAGTATTGCCAACTATATGAATGGCCATTTTACCAGATTATAAAACTTGGGATACCAGAATATTACTAGATTTTTCTCAATCCTGCCAATACCAGAATATTATTAGGTCTTTGTTGCTAAAGAAAAATTGTGCTAAAATTTTTAGATTTCAATTGTTTATTTTAGGTTTTTTTTTTGTTTTTTTCATTAGGTTTAAAATAAAAATGTAATAACAACAATATCTGTATGGAAAAATAAAACTTATTCAGATACTGCATACCTAATTAGTGTATACACAGAATACCTATAAACAAATACATTATTGTAAGAAAAAATCCATTCTGTATAACATAACATTGGTAAACATGCTTAGGCCCGGTTTGTTCATCTTTAGATAAGCTCCTTGGTAACTATCTGCAAGATAAGTGCACCGTTCTATAATTCTATTGGTCGGCGGATAACTAGCCAACCAATGGTATAACATATTTCGTTTATATATGGGTCAGATTGCATACCTGACAGTTTATCAGAAGGTGAATAAACCGGCCCTAATAGGTATATTGGTAACCTTTGGCATAACTATTTAAGACTAGTCTCCATAGACGCGAAATAGCGATTTATTTTTTGCGGATTTCTTTCCTATTGGTTCAAATTTCACATTCAAATGTCTAATGCTAATGTCAAATTCCAACATGTAAAAATGTCACTTTTAGCGTTGATTATCGTTAAAACTCCCTCAAAATGGACGGTGCAAACGACCATAAATTCAAGAAATAGTAGATTATACCACGAGTCAATAATGATAGCTATTATTCCCGAGGATTATTATGAACTGAGCCGTGTTAGCGGCGAGGGAGTAACATTCCGAGGGAATAATAGCCATTATTGCGAGTAGTATACTCTACTTTATTTACGGCAAATTAATTTATTTGAGATTTTCAATGAACAAATTTCATTCGTCTCATAATTTTCAATACAAATCCACAAGCACTACACGTTTGACACTGACACTTTTATGGAATAATGACCATTAATCCCGCTACTCGTCATTAATCCCTGGAGGAATAACATATGTCATTATACTGCCAAAATCACAAATATAATACGCACATTATACATTAGTCGTAAATAAAATAGATTATTGATTGCTAATGCGAAAATACCAGAATTTTGCTGGAATGAAATGTAAAATTACCAGAAATATTACTAGATATATTTTGAAAATCTTCATTACTAAAGCCGGGGTCGATATTACCAGATCTGGTAATTATTTTACCAAGTTGGCAACACTGATGAGTGCTGTAGCTTTTTCTTGATCGTTCCATCCGTTGGTATTTGCAGCTGATTCAAATTGTCGAATATACATGGTACAGGACGTAGAACCGTCAAAAGTTGGTGGTCTTACCTGTAATCTTTTATTCTAGGTTAGCGGCAAATCCGTGTATTGTTTGAAATATTTTCTGTAGTTGTACAAGGTCTTGTTGCCGTTCTTCTTGCCGCCCGATCTCTTCGTCTTGTTTTTTTTGTTGCCGTTTAGCTTCTCCTTGTTGTTTTTCTTTTTGTCGTCTGGCCTCTTCATCTTGTTTTTCTTGTTGTTGTTTAACTTGTTGAAGTTCCAACATTTTGCGCAGGAGTTCTTTAACTTTTTGTTCTTCCATTTTTGCTTGTTGTCTGTAATAGGCATATACAGAATGTTTGTTCTAGAATTTCCCTTAAACTTTCTTCAAATATCTTTCCTGGTCTTTGCTTGAAGTTCCAAACACGCCGGTGAAATCACAAAGTAGATAACTTGCTTTATTCTCGAATAGAATGTTCTAGAATTTTCTTGAAATATCTTTTCTGAATTTCGATGATTTAAAAAAAAAAAACAATCAAAGATTGCTATGGCTTTTTAAGCGTATGTCTTAGCAATATTTTTCATTAATTTTGTCAATGAACTTTGACGTCAAAATGTCATGTCAAAAATCCGGACCAATAAAGAAACAATAGTGCGACGTACGTTTTCGTAATCAAAGCAATCGTCGTAAACACGTTGGTGAAGTCACAAATCCAATATCTCTCTTCGTTTCCAAACAGAATGTTCTAGAATTTTCCAGAAATTCCTGGAAATTATTTTTTTGAATGGCGCTTGATGTATCGAATACGTCGGCGAAGTCAGAAATTCGATATCTCACTTGGTTTCCGAATAGAATTTTCTAGAACTTACTTGAAAATTCACTATCACAGTCAAAATCGGGTATACAGTCAGTTTCGGGGTAATTTACACGATCGGTTAAGTCTCTTCCGGTGATTGTCATTGCTCACACTGACTATCTGTCCCAGAGTTCACTATAGTGTCCACACTAGTGTCCGCCACTATTCTGCATTCGAATTTCACTTTGCAGCCCTCGAATTATATCTCACTTCTGACACCAATGCAACAGCTCTTGGGGTACGTGACATTAATTTTGGGTTCATTTATTCCAAAATCAAAGTCCAATTAACACAACAATAATTTATTCCACGTTACTTCACACTCTGACACTAATTGCTTCACTAATTAACTCAAACAACTTAACTCTTCACAACTCTTAACAATAATCACAATCTAAAACGTATCACAGCCAATCTTAAACTTATAAACTAATGACTTATACCGGCCTTTATATATTTGTAATGCATTCGTCTGAAATCCAAAATAAACGCGATAGACAGTTTGGGGAAGGCGCCACCGTAACAATATATAACAATTATCTTATTTGAACAGACTTAAAAACTACGCGCTTTATATACAAAAATATTCAATCGAGAAATCTCTAGCATCTGTAAATGAACTGTTTTTCCATTTTAAAGCAAAACGCAAGGGAATTCCTGAATTCTCTCGCTCTGGTCCTGAATAGTAGGGCCAGCTGTTCCACACCAATGTAATTTCCTAGAGAAATATTTTTATTCAAAGCTCACTATTAACCAATTTTCTTACGAGCTTTGAAACAAGTAACATTTTATGTAGCCCTTAAACTGACAATTATTATTCTTTTATTTCCAGTTATTTGTCTATCCATGGGGCTACCATTTCTCCTCCTAGTCTTGCTACTAATCCAGTCAGCTCTTTCAGTCACCGATGACGCGTACCAAAGCTACGTACTGCTCGATCCTGATGACGATTCCGATCTCGAAACGTACCTAGACAGGCAAATGCGAAGCGGAGATAAATTTTTGAGGTTCGGCAAGAATTTATGGGACTACGAAGCCGGCAACGAAGTACCACCGTACGAAGATCGGGACGCGGACAGGCCTTCGAGAACTGGAAGGCAAGCGAAAAATGATGACTTTCTTAGATTTGGTCGTAGTAAACCCGATTTGCGGTAGGAGTTAAAATGCATGAGAAATGTTTGTGTGTGAATGCTTTTTGTGTTTTAACACAATTTCATATTGTGAATAGTTTTATAATGTAGTTATATGTTGAAGGAAGAAATAATTTGATTTTGAAACTTATTGATGACTTTGATTTAGATGTCTAACGGATAAAAAACTGAAATAAAAGGAGAAAATAAGAACACCTCGGCAAGCTTTGACCTCAGAGAGCCATTTACTTGGTTCACTTTGTGGTTTTCATAATATTCGTTAAGTAAATAAACACTTGGCTGCTCATAAGCTGCTTACTACGCACTGCTTTAGTATATATTGTAAAACTAACCCTTTTGGGCTCTCAATGAGGACTTTTTAGTGGGTTTTCGCAATGCAGATTCATTCCTCAGTCAAGATAATGTCGGAATGGATTGTCAGGAACCATGAAATAAAATTAAAGCATTACTGTTTCTGTATACCAATGAATAAAAATACAATTACTCACCGGGGGGTTTTACCGCCCCTTGCCTCTTGGTCATTCTGGCATACCAATACTAAATATTGCTGCTAAAAATATAATTAAAATAGCAGGATTAATCTTCACTTGTATCTTCTTTCTTCGACGACTAGCTAGTGCCCCCCTGAAATAAGTCAAGGCTTCCCCGGATACTTAATTGCCGCTAAACAATCAGTATCCCAACAAATTGGGTATTGGGGTGTTTGCTCTACACCCCTATACCTATTTGAGTCAATCAAGTCGCAAGTAAGGCCCCCAATCTTACAAGACACAACCTGAAGGAATGGCGCCCATACCAGCGTATAGAGGCTTGCTACACCAGCGTGCAATAAATGTACTCATAGTACATTTCCATGAGTTTCTACACCAGCGTGCAATAAATGTACTCATAGTACATTTCCATGAGTTTCTACACCAGCGTGCAATATATTATGATTCATAAATATCAGGTTATACACAGTATATATCAGCAATAATTATTTATATCGGCCAAAGGCTTACCAAAATCCGTGTACACACACAAACATTGAAAAACAACCTCTGTTCCTATCTGCTTGGCTCCCCGCTCACCACTCATCCCTTTCTTTTTACCCTCTCGACGATTCCTTCTTTCTAAGATTCCCCTTCTCAATATTTTACCTGAAATGAAGAGGTTCTGGGCAGCTTGGACTATTTAATTAAGAGGCGACAAATGGTTTTGTTTGATTATTAAATATAATTTATTGACAGGAATACAATAATTGGAATGTTGATTACATAATTATTTTACAATATTTTCACGGATTCCGGGTTTACTAAAACTTACTTCACAAACAATAATAAATTTTATTGAACAAATAAGACTCATATTTTAACTCAAACAAAACTGACTACTATGGGCTGTTGATATTTATCTAGAAGTATTTGTTAGTCTGGTTTGTTCCTCAAAGATAACGGTTTGCATCCATTGTCGCTGATATTCAAAATTTGATGCAAGTCGGTTCTGTTCTCTCTGTTTCTATCTTCGATTTTCTTATCGGTGTAAAAGTGCGGCTTGTATTTCTTTGTGGCCTCGGGCTCCCTTTACTTGTCTTTCCTTTTTTTCATCGAGTTTCTTCTGGTTTTTTTTTCTGTCTCCGGTCTTCCTCTGCTTGTCTTTTGACGTTCATATTTTTCATAAAGTCCACTAACATTTGATGAACTTGATCCATTTTGGCTGTTTGCTGAAGTGTAGGTATTTATCATAGAATACTCTGTATCTTTCTTGGATTTCAAATCTGAAGTTTTGAGGTATAGTCTAATTTTCAAAAAGAACATCCTGGAATGTTCTAGACAAATGAGACAAATCACCCTGGTTCTTTAATGTTGAAACCACTATTTTCAAATGGAACATTAATAAAGTTTCTGGAATTCAGAAAATTCGTTCGTGATCTTGTTTTTCGATTTCAAATCCGGTAATAAAGTCACTATTTCAGTTCAATAAAAGTTCACTGATTGGTCCCACTAATTAGCTCATGTTAAGACATCTTAATCTCACTTTACAAACAGTAACAACCTTTTATTGAATAAATTGCCTTACTCGAATACAATAGTTCCCGAACAGTCGCGCTAGACGTAAACAACTCAATTCCTGGAATCCGGTCGAGTTCTCGATGCAATTTCGTAACAATAATTTCAGGAGGAATGTATTGCTACCTGATTTTTTTTATTATTGATTGGCTTTCTAGAGACATTCAATAATACTTTTTCCATCATCTTGGAAAATTTGAACTATTCAGTTATGTAAACGCTATATTTATTGCAATGTGGTTTTGTCGATCCGAGTAGGTTGTCAATGTAGTGTTTTCAATTGTTTGAGAATCGGAAAAAAAAAAACGCAGAAGTCTGGTTTTTAAAAATAGTTCCCCCTCGACGTTTCGCAAAATTTATTTGCATCTTCAGGAGACTGTAATTATAAAAAATAAAAGGGTTATTTACATACTCAAATGTTGAGTTAAAGAAAAACAGAAGACGAAAAAAAAACAAAGCTGTCTTGTCTTCTGATTTCGCGTTACATGAAATTCGTAATAGATAGGTATTTCATAAAAACAGAAAGAGAATAACAAAATTTAATAAAGACTTTTAAATAAATTATACAAGTGGGGAGAGTGGCAACATGAATACATAGAACAAATACTTATGGTTAACAACAAAGAAGGTAGAGAAATTGATTTGATTACTTAAATTTCGCTCTCCAAGTTTTTCAGTTACAGTTCCGAAAAGGTCTCTATATTCCTGAAGAAGGGACGCTAATTTTTTCCTTAGAGATGGGTCAGTAGTTCCAATGTTTATATCCTCCTGGTTAATCAATGGTAGATTGTCTAGATCCACACGAAAAACTTGTTCAGACGAATAACTACTGTCTACTTCACAAGCAATAGCTCTTACTAGTGGATATTTATCACTATGATTTTAATTGCTATAGTCTAAGCTAAAAACAAGAGAATGAGGAGAGAACCTCCGCGCGCTGTATTTATATTAAAATACCGCTGACGCTTGCATTTATGTGGGCGAAACCTTGATATGACGGTACTTTTCCAGGCAGTATCCCTGACTCAGCATCTTTATAATATCGTGGACTTTTACAGTAGCGTAGGCTTATGTTTAACATTGAAAAAGGGAATTATTTGTATATTAATAACATAGGGTTTTATAATATAACTAGCAACAAAAAAACAACAAAAACACTTCAAAAGAAAGGGGGGAAAAAAAACTTTTCAATGAACAGATGGTATATACCATACATTCCAACACTAATATCTTGAGGATTAATGTAGAAAAAGTTTGTGTGCCCACACAAACACTCAAAAAACAAAATTATGGCAAGGGTGCAAAATCAACTAACCTAGGAATAAAACTATTGTTATTAATGATTTTAAATTTAAATTTAAATAAATGAATAATTGTCTCCATCTAGATGGTGACCAACATAATAGGCCAGTCGCGACACGATTTGCCAATAACAAGAAACTTGTTAAGTCATGACAAACATGACACACTAATCTCTCAACAAATTCCAATAGATTGCACTTAAGTTAAAAGTATCGTTTTTTTTAAACCGATACTTTTAGAATTTGTCATAAGTATTTGTTCTATGTATTCATGTTGCCACTGTCCCCACTTGTAAAATTTTTTATACATTATACAGGGTGTCCCAGGGAAAACAGTCCACCCCGATTTATTTGATTTGGGATGAGAATCTGGAAAAACGCTCGGACACGTCGATGTTTGATTTGAGGGGGAACTATTTTTCAGTTTTTTTCATCCCCGTAGCTTCAACCCCCTAGCTAGGGGGGGACAACCCCCCAAATTTGAATAGGGAATAGGGGTCGTGTCATACCTCTTTTTGAAGGTCTCATCGAGTTCTTTATGGCCTTAGAATTTTGGTTCATTATTTTCATCCGTAACGAAATGACAGCTTGTCAAAATCTTGGAAATAGCCTATTAGTTTTAGTGGGGGGGGGGGGGGGTCATCAGATCCTTAATGAAAATACTTGAAGTTGAAGTTTTTTATTATTATTATTAATGAGGTGTATACGAGAATTGTAAATTGTAGGTATTTTTACACGTATTTATATTGAAAGAGATAAGTACCTACCGCTTTTACTCCTACTAAAACAATAGTCTATTTACAAGATTTTGACTAGCTGTCATTTCATTACGGATGAAAATAATGAAATGAAATTCTAGGGCCTTAAAGAACTCGATGATACCTTTAAAAAGAGGTATTACACGACCCCTATTCCCTATTCAAATTTTGGGGGTTGTTCTCCCCCTGGCTAGGGGGTTGAAGCTACGGGGATGAATAGAACTGAAAAATAGTTCCCCCTCAAATCAAACATCGACGTGTCCGAGCGTTTTCCCAGATTCTTATCCCAAATCTAATAAATCGGGGTGGACTGTTTTCCCTGGGACACCCTGTATATTTCCCCTACCCAAACAATTGAAGAGCACTACATTGAGGCTATATTTAATATTTTAGGTAAATATTACATATAAACAGCTACAAACTTCTAGTTTACATTGTATTTACATTCTTACAATGCTGTGTGTCGGACAGCAAACGGTGAGGTGTCACCCACTGTAACGGCGTTTGTACAGCGGTATGGAAGGCAGCGGAAAACCGCTACACTATCTCTACCCAGGAAAATCTTCATGGTTGGAAAAACCACGAAATGACCCTCAGTCCCGGGCAGACCTTCAATGGTCAAAGGGTGCGAAGAATTTTCCGGCCAGCACTGAAAATTTGGCACCTGTAATATCAGAAGTTTGTGTAAAGCAATTATGCTAGGCGGCACATTATTTCATTAGTACCAGCCCCAAATTTTGTGTAGAGATATTAATCGGTTCCCACACTTTTTTTTTGCTATAAAACCTAAAACTCTTTTGGTGGGCTTTTATAGCAAGCAATTTTGGTAAAGAAATTTCAGGGTTTTGGGTTGGATTTTGGATTTAAAACTGAAAAAGGAAGGGTAGTCTTGC